TAGTCTCTAAGGTGCCACAAGTACTCCTGTTCTTTTTACATATACTCAAGAAACCCAATCCAGCCACCCATTCTTCCATTCCCCAACACACCCCTCCAGCCACCCATCCTTCCATCCACACACACAGCCCTCCACCTGTCCATCCATCCGCAATACACCCCTCCTTCCACCTATTATTCCATCCCCACACACGCCCCTCCAGCTACCCATCCATACCAACACACAGTCCTCCAGCCACTCATCCAACCATCCCAATACACATTCCCTCCATCCACCCATCCATCCCTATATACACCTCTCCAGCCCCCCACCCCTCCAGCCCCATACACACCCCACAAGCTATCCATATACAGCCATCCATTCAGCCATCTATCCATCCCCATACACACCCCTCCACCGCCCATCCATCCCCATACACACCACTCCAGCCACCCATCCATCCCCATACACACTCCTCCATCCCCGTACACACCCATCCATCCATCCACCCATCCCCATCAACACCCCTCTATCCACCCATCCTTCCATCCATCCCCCCACACCTCTCCATCCATCCATCCATCCCCCCACACCTCTCCAGCCACCCATCCATCCCCATAGAGACCTCTCCATCCATCCATCCCCATACACTCCCCTCCCACCATCCATCCTTCCATCCACATACACACCCCTCCAGCCACCCACCCTTCCATCCATCCCCCCCACACCTCTCCAGCCATCCATCCTTCCATCCACATACTACACCCCTCCAGCCACCCCTCCATCCATTCATTCCCATACACACCCCTCCAGCCACCCACCCACGACCTGGGCCGTCTGTCACTGTGCCTCTCTCCCATCCCGTGCCTCAGTTTCCCCACCTGCGGGGATAATGATAGTGACCATTGGAAGGCACTTTGAGGTCTACAGATGGAAAGCACTAAAGATGAGCTAGGTAGTGTGACAATCTCCCTGCCTGTCCCCACACACCTAGCTCCATTTCCAGGCTGTGCCCCTCACTATGGCTCCTGTACAGCTCAGCCCCTAGAACTTGCACCCCAGCAGATTCTCCCAGGCTCCAAGCCTCTCAGATGAGACACCCCCCCCACACTCCCATTGTGTGTGGCAGCTGGCACTTACCAAAGCCAACTTCTACTCCACAGCGCTGCGCTGCTCCCCATCGGGTCGGGATGAGGTAGCCATCCCCTTCTCCCCGCAGGTCACTGCTGCTGGTCTGTGCCCGGCCCCACGCCCCACTAGGGGCCTCCCGCAGGGGAAAGCTGAAATCCTGGGCAAGACTTTGGACCTTAGCACATGGTTATTTCTGTCCATTAACAACCCTCAACGAGGGCTCCTTATCTCAGAGGGTTGAAATGTCCAAACAGTTATATCCCTGGGGATGCTGGGAGCTGCCGAACGTGAACTCCTGCCAAGAACTCGGAAGCTTTCGAGACGGCTGGAGCCTCACGCCTTCTATTTCTCATGGGCCAGTCCCCTCTATTTTTAGACAACTCAGCAGGGTACATGGAGGCACCGGCTGGATGCTGGGATGACAGCAGCTGCTTCCAGCCGCTGGGTGAAAGTAATTTTGATTAGGGGAGTGAGGAGGTAAGTTTATGGAGGAAGAAAGAGACTAGCAATAAAGGTGGCAGTATGGCCTAGTGGGTGGGGAGCTGGGCTAGGATTCAGAAGACTGGGGCTCTGCTCATAGTTCTGCCACTGGGCGAGTCACTTCCTCTTGCTGTGTGCCTCAGTTTCCCCAGCTGTACAATAGGAATAATGCTACTGACCTGCTTTGTAAAGTGCAGTGAGATGGAGGCATTATGCTTGGAAAGGGAGCATTGACTCAAGCCCCTTTAAGGGTCTGAGCTCATCCAGCAAGCCTGTGCCACAACATCCGTGCGGCTTGCTTTAGCACGCCTGACTTGGGCTGGGAGGTTTGCTCCCAGCTGCAGCCCAGATATACCCCATGGGCTCTGAGGTAATGGATTTGGCTACAATGAAGGATGTGATTGAGTCACATGGCATCATTTTCCCTCCTTCAGAGGGAAATTCCCAAGCCAAGTTGATCCTGGGGGTAACTCATCTGATATTGGTTGGGATATAAGGGATGGTTTCATAGAATCACAGAACTGGAAGGGACCTCAAGAGGTCATCTAGTCCAGTCCCCTGCACTCAAGGCAGGACTAAATATTATCAAGACCGTCCCTGACAGGTGTTTGTCTACCCTGCTCTTCAAAATCCCCAATGATGGAGATTCCACCACCTCCCTAGGCAATTTATTCCAGTGCTTAACCACCCTGACAGTTAGGAAGTTTTTCCTACTGTCCAACCTAAACCGCCCTTGTTGCAATTTAAACCCATTGCTTCTTGTCCTATCCTCAGAGGTTAAGAAGAACAATTTTTCTCGCTCCTCCTTGTAACAACCTTTCATGTACTTGAAAACTGGTATCATCTCCCCCCTCAGTCTTCTCTTCTCCAGACTAAACAAACCCAATTTTTTCAACCTTCCTTCATGTTTTCTAGACCTTTAATCATTTTTGTTGCTCTTCTCTGAACTTTCTCCAATTTGTCCACATCTTTCCTGAAATGTGGCGCCCAGAACTGGACACAATACTCCAGTTGAGGCCTAATCAGCATGGAGTAGAGCGGAAGAATTGCTTCTCGTGATTTGCTTACAACACTCCTGCTAATACATCCCAGAATGATGTTTCCTTTTTTTGTAACAGTGTTACACAGTTGACTCATATTTAGTTGTGATCCACTATGACCCCCCAGATCCCTTTCCGCAGTACTCCTTCCTAGGCAGTCATTTCCCATTATGTATGTGTGCAACAGATTGTTCCTTCCTTAATGTTCCTTAAAAGTACTTTTTTATTTGTTCCTATTGAATTTCATCCTATTTACTTCAGACCATTTCTCCAGTTTGTCCAGATGATTTTGAATTATAATCCTATTCTCCAAAGCACTTGCAACCCCTCCCAGCTTGGTATCGTCCACAAACTTTATAAGTATACTCTCTATGCCATTATCTAAATCACTGATGAAGATATTGAACAGAACTGGGCCCAGGACCAATCCCTGTGGGACCCCACTC